GGTGTTAGCGTGGTTCCAGTCAGAGACTGCCACATGTTAGCTTATGGGTGGGTTGTTATTGCACACCCTGTCGACGCGCACCCACGCCCGCACGGATTCTTTAAGATTTTCAAATTTCATATCTTCTTCGTACGAGCTCCATTCTCGACGGTCTTTATATTTTTAACAGGCTTAGACTGCTAAAATACGTATAAAAATCATAATCTCTCAGACGACCTCTGTTATCGATTGTCTTTATATTGATGAGATCTTCAACTTTTATTTAGATTGTTTTGCCTAAGAATCAACCAATCTAAAATTCGGTTTCTGTGTCACACACAACTATACTGAAACTTCGAAAATTCATAACTTACTTATATGAAGTCAGATTTGGGTATTCTATATATGTATGAGTTCGTTTTTACGATTTGCACGACTTTCATTTAGATTACTTAGGCTATTACGCAACTTCTCCCTAATTCACTTTTTATGATGCGCATAGCTGTCTCGGTTTTGATCGTGAAACTTCGAAGAAGCTTAACTTCTTCATATAAAGTCGGATTTAGGTGCTCCTTATATCCACAAGATTGTCAATACGACTGCTACACCTTTAGTTAAGATTATTTATTACATCTTAAATGTCTAGACCAAATCTATGGTCATTAACAACACGAGTGGGATACTTTCAAAGTAGTGGGTTCAATAAAACCTTAAAATTGTACAACATGGATGAGAATGTATATTTGGTGGAATCACAAAATATGGATTGTCGATGGAGCCTTAGGGAGAGTGTTTTGAACCAATCAAGAGATGAACCATGGTTTCATACAATCAGAAATAAGATAACATGATTTTATTTGAGGACAACACACAAAAATAGCAAACGGTCTTACGTGTTTTTTTTTTTAGTTTTTAAAATTTTTTATTTATGACACCAAAATACGACATACATGTTTTTATGTCACGAAATTTTACAAACAACAACATAATTTTACGCTCTGTTGTAATTTCCTAAGATTTCATGAATGATAGAAATTATATTTATGACAAAAGTTTTTATCTATCATAAAGTCAATGTGTGCCATAAGCAATATTGCAGAAATTGGTCTTGGCGGTCGATTAATCGGTGATTAATCGTTTGCGGTCTCGAACCGATTACGATAAGGGTGTTTGGCGGAAATTGGTTAAAATCGGTCAAACTCGGGTTTGGCGGTCATTGGCGGCCTTGGCGGTCCTCGACGGTCATAAGCAGAAAATATTTAAAAAATTCAAAAAAAAAAAATCATATATTACACCTAAATTTTAAATTTTAAAATTTTTAAGCTTTCTAATTTTAAAATATAATACTAAAATTTTTAAAATTTTAAAATTTAATATTTCCAAATACTTAATTTTTTAGCTAATATTAAATTTTCAAATAATTTAGGATCTCCGATTAATCCCGTCGAGTTTGATTAATCGTTTATCGTCAATCGATCGCCGAGCTACCGCTGAACAATTTTTACAACCTTGGTCATAAGTAGTTCGTACAACACATCTAACCATCTATAAAATTACCAAAGTAAAACGTTTATTACCCTTTCATACGTATTGGTAATTTGTTAGATAACATATACTAACCATATTTGGATCTTTCACTTTATGAATATTTTAAAAAGATTATAAACATTGAAATAAATTCAACTCAAGTGTTAATGTTTCATGGACAAGTGTCAACAACTTTCAAGTAAAATAAAAACTCATTCGGGGAGTTGAAATAAATGTCACATCTCAAGGGGGTGGTTTATAAACCCTAATAATTCACCTATAAAGTAATTAAATAATATTGAATTATAAATATTTGTCATCAATATATGTTCAGTTAAATTTAAACTAATTGCATTGGTATGGATCTTGTCGGGTCAATAATTCATCTAACATGTACACAAAAATTTATATTATAAAAATTTCACATTTCATGGAAATATTGTTTCTAAAAATCTTAAATAGATCTAATACATGTTCATCTAAATACGTATTATTATAAATAAGGACACCTTTAGCTTCTGAGTTCTCAATAATGAAAATTGAAAAAGCCACTAATTACGTTAGAAGTATCAATCCAGTAGACTGCAAAAGGTAACCATTTATGCATAAAACATTAATGATACCCACTAAAATAACAAATCAAGGAGACAACAAATATCTGATAGCCTAATGAATAACAACTAACAACGATGGTTTAAAAGTCAGTTACGATTTTGTTTAATACAATAGAGGAAACACAAATATGGAAAAACTGGAATTCTATTTATATTCGTCTTTTTTATTAGAGATAACTATTGCTACATAAAATAATTTTGAAGATACTTTAATTTAAAAAAACAATTTTTATTATTTAAAAATTTTGAAAAATGCAAATATATAAATAGAAATGCCCAGATTCATAGGACCACTATAACTTTTTTTTTTTTAAGAGGGGGGGGGGGGGGGGGGGGGGGGGGCGGGTAACCACGGGTTTTTTTCATTTAACCATTTAAGCTGTTTTTCCCCTGTGAACCTACTATATAACCCACTATAAAAACCATTATTCTTTCAAACTTCTTCAGTTTGACCCTTTGATTTTTATTTTCTTTAACCACTAAAACTTTGATTTTTATTAAAAATAAATGGCATCCGTAACAAAACTACTCGCTCGATTTTAGTTTACAATTCATTATCGGGAAAAAAATGAAGTAGTTTTTTTTTTTTTTTTTTTTTTATAAAGTTAAACAAAACTTTTAGCCGTTAAAACATTAAAAAACTCTTTAAGTTGATAAAAAAATATAAAATAAATAATAAAATTACTCTTTAAGCTGTTAAAAAATATAGAGTAAATTGTAAAATTGGTCCTTATGTTATCCCAAAAAGTATATATATATATATATATTATTTTTTTTATTTTTTTTATTTTAAATTTCATTCATACAGTTAGTCTCGAATTAAAGCTTCGATACAAATTGACCAAAACTGTATTTTTTTTGGGATTCCATAGAGACCAAATTTATGGAAGTTTCAATTTTATACTTACTATATGAATTGTTAGGACACCATGTAGACCAATTTTGCAATTTATTCTAAAATATGTATTATTGATTTTTTTATAAAATTTGATTTATTAAAGACATTTTATATACCTATTAATTAAGATGTTATTTTGTTTGCAACAAAAGGTTTAAACTCTAACATAATGATTCAAAGAGTTGAATAATTTATAAGTCATTTAAGAGAGTATTTTTATGTCAGGGAATATGACTTATTAAGGTAATTAACTTTTCGGTATGTTCATATCTGGGTAATTATCTTTCTTTTGTACATATCTAGGTAACAAATTTTTTGCAAGTGTTCACATATGACAATGACCTGCTATAGCAGGTTAAATCCTATATGTAAACGTTTTTAACAAGTTTGTTACCTAGATGTGTAAAAAAAAAATAGTTACCCAAACATGAATAAAACGAAAAGTAAAAATTAAATTACATGAATGGTCCCTATGGTTTGGGGGAATTTGTGGTTTTGGTCGCTAACTTATTTTTTTAACTTAAATGGTCCCTACTGTTTATTTTTGTTGCGCGTTTGGTCCCCGTCTTACATAAAAATACTATTATGCCCTTATTAATTTATTTTTTAATTAATTTTCTTATCTATGTATTTATTTTTTTCATATTTAAAAAAATTAATAGACCACACATATTTGTATCTCCTCGGATGATCCATACTATTTATTTTTTAATTAATTTAATTTTTTTAACTCAGTTGGTCTCTACTATTTAATTTTGTTACGAACTTGATCTTTGTCTTATTTAAAAAGACTATTGTGCCCTTCTTAATTTTTTTAATTAATTTTCTTGTTTATGTACTTATGCTTTATATGTTTAAGAAAAATTAGTAGACCCCACATATCTGTATTTCCTCACCATCCCATCTTTCATCATTCTCAACTTCTATTTATTTTTCATCTTTAGTGATATCGACGTCTTCATCATCACTTCTTTTTTCGGTCCTTCAACTCCGTTGAATCAACACCACAGCCCACTAAAGATGAAGAGACAGTAGGTTATGGTGTTGGTTCGCTAGAGTTGAAGTACCAAAAAAAAAGGACGGTGAAAACGTCGATGTTACTAAAGATGGAAAAGAAATAGAAGATGGGGAGGATCAGAGATGAGATGATGAATGGTAAGACTCAAATTAAATTTCTCAAATGTGGTTTCAAATTTACGGTGATGAGATACATATATGTGGGGTATATTAATTTTTTTTATAAAAAATAAATACATAAATAAGAAAATTAATTAAAAAAATTAATAAGGGAAAAATAGTATTTTTAGATAAGACAGAGACCAAACGCGTAACAAAAATAAACAATATGGATCATCCGAGTTAAAAAAATAAATTAATTAAAAATAAACAGTAGGGATCATCCGAGGAGATACAAATATGTGTGGTCTATTAATTTTTTTAAATATGTAAAAAATAAATACATAGATAAGAAAATTAGTTAAAAAAGTAAATTAATAAGGGTACAATAGTATTTTTAGGTAAGATGGGAACCAAACGTTCAATAAAAATAAACAGTAGGGACCATTTAAGTTAAAAAAATAAGTTAGCGACCAAAACCACAAATTCCCCCAAACCACAGGGACCATTCATGTAATTTAATTTTTAGTTTTCGTTTTGTTTATATTTGGGTAACTATTTTTTTTTTACACATCTAGGTAACAAACTTGTTGAAAACGTTCACATCTAGGATTTAACCTGCTATAGCAGGTCATAATGGTCATATGTGAACACTTCCAAAAAGTTTGTTACCTAGATATGTACAAAAAAAAAATAATTACCTAGATATGAACATACTGAAAAGTTAATTACCTTGATAAGTAATATTCCCTTTATGTCAAGTACCTGTTTGCGTTTTAACAGTAGTATAGGGGCCAAAATGAAAGAAAAACCCAACGAAATATATAAAATGTCCCTTCGTTTCCCCCTCTGAAAACTTGCCAAATGTTGAATATTCTCTCTTTTTCTCATTTATGCTGATTGGAGGTATGTTCTTGAGCAGCAGAAGCACAACACACGAAGAAGAAAGAAGAAGAAGAAGGTCAAATTAGGACCTTTTTGAAAATCAACGAATTCGGTTGTCATCGTGAGAAAGTTTTTGTGATAGAGAAAGAGAGAGACATGGGTTGTTTCTTTTGCTCCGGTGGAGATTCTTCTGAGAAAAGATCACCCCAAAATAAGAGAAAGAACAACACCAAGAACAACCAATCACATCCCTCTCCTGGTACGTATAATGCAATCGGTTCTTTTAACTGTTTTCAAATCATTTAAGAGCATTCAAAATAGTCAGTTTTGAAAATTTAATCGATCGGGATCGTATTTGGGGGAAATTTTCTTCTTTCAAATTCTTATTATAACTCGATAACGGATTAATTTATTGTTGTTTTTCTTTCTGAATCATGCATGCCCTTAACCTGTTCGACGTAATTCCTCTTCATTCTTCTGGATTTGCATTATTTTAATGTCTCGATCTCTTTCGTGGTTTTATGATCCCAAAGTTTGAACTTGTAAATGGAAACATACTGATCCTAGTGATTTTTTATATTTTTTTATTTCATCATCTTGATCAATAGTGAGATGCGATTTAATCCTTGTAATTTAGGCAATAATCTGTTCTATCTGTTGGCGATACTTTTTGTTTAACCAGTTAAATAGTCTACTTTATCATCATCATCATGAACAACCCCATAAAATTTTTCGTGAAACTTCATATAAAACAACAACATTGTTTTAAATCTGCGTTTTGTTAATTCCTTTTTTTATTTCTTTCCTTTTGTTCTTTTATAACTGTTGTCATATCCCCTGTTATCTTCCTCTATGATGTTGAAAGTTTCATTGTTTTTTTAACTTCCTTTGTCTTCTCTGCTTCCACACACACAAACACACAGTTCCTGGTGTTTTCAACGATTAAAATTTGCTTCTACATATGTGTAGATAACTCCAACTTGAATCCAAGTAGCGAATTGAAGAAGGATAATCCTAAAGAATCCAATCAATCATCAGTTGCCAATGAGAACGATGATAAAATCAAATCTCCCAACAATAAAGAGTCTAACAAAACCAAGGCACGAAAATTTACATTCGCTCAATTGGTAACTGCCACCAATAATTTTAAGGCTGCAAATTTCTTGGGTGAGGGTGGATTTGGTAAAGTTTATAAGGGAAAATTAGAAGACACTCATGAGGTTTGTGATCTTTAATCAATAAAAAAAATCATATTTATTGATATTAACCCACTAAAGTATGAATCTTGATTTTTTTTTTGGTTGCAGATTGTTGCAATTAAGCGATTGGATCTTGATGGGAGTCAAGGGATTCGAGAATTTGTTGTTGAAGTGTTGACTTTAAGCATGGCCAATCATCCAAATTTGGTCAAATTAATCGGTTATTGTGCAGAAGCCGAACAAAGGTTATTAGTCTACGAGTACATGCCGTTAGGTTCTTTGGAGGACCATCTGCACGGTACTCTATTTATCAGATATCAGATAACAAACAACAGATAATCAGTTTTTTACAGATAGTGACTAATTGGAACTTGGATTTATGGTGTTAGGTGTACGTGTGAATAGGAAGCCGCTTGATTGGAACGCGAGGATGAAAATAGCGGCGGGTGCGGCCCGCGGGTTGGAGTATTTGCATGACCAAATGAATCCGCCGGTTATATATCGAGACTTGAAGTGTTCTAATATTTTATTAAATGAAGAATATCATGCCAAGTTATCTGATTTTGGGTTAGCAAAAGTGGGCCCACTTGGGGACAAGACACATGTCTCGACCCGAGTGATGGGTACGTATGGTTACTGTGCTCCCGATTATGCGTTGACCGGTCAACTTACCTTCAAATCCGATATATATAGCTTTGGAGTTTTGCTCTTGGAGCTCATTACGGGGAGAAGACCAATCGATAATACAAAACCTACTTCCGAGCAAAATCTTGTTAATTGGGTAAGTTCAATAGTAAATTCATATTTTACATACACATTAAAAAATATACCATCAAAAAAATGGTGTCGAGTAGAGCAGCTCAGCTTAGGGGTTGCTGGAAGAATAACTGATTGTCATTGTCAGGCGCGACCGTTGTTCAAAGAGCGAAAGAAGTTTTCTCGGTTGGTGGACCCTATGCTTGAAGGGAAATACCCTGTGAGGGGGCTTTATCAAGCTCTTGCCATTGCTGCAATGTGTCTACAAGAACAACCTAACATGAGACCTCTTGTGGCGGATGTTGTAACGGCTCTTAATTATTTGGCAACCCAAAAGTATGATCCGTTAATTCACCCGGTTCAGAGGTCAAGGTATTGGTCAAACCTTGACCAGGATGGGGTTGTATCGCCTTGAAAGGTGGTTTTAAACCCTAATGTTTATATCAGAATCGGAGGAGAAATTCCTCCCATTCTGTTTGTTTTTTTTTTTTTTTTTGGGAGTTGATGAGAAGCATTATACGGAGGGGTAGGATGTGGGGTTAAAAGGGGAGTTTTGTACAAGGAGTACTTTTTTCTCCTTGGAAGATGGTAAAGTAAAATGTTGGATTTTTAGAGCAAAAGATAAGAGTTTTTGTAAATGGATGTAAAGGTTTTCTTTTTCTCGAAGGATGGGTGTGGTCAAATAGTAACACAAAGACAAGGAGAGATGTCGTGTACTTGAATCTTTAAAAAAAAAAAAAAAGTTAATAAGGTACAAGAATGAACTTTAGAGTTTAAATTTTAGGTGGGGTTTTCATATATTTATTTTGAAAACAAGTATAAGATATACAATAATCAAAATTGTATAATCAGTTTTAACAAATGTCGATAATCAATTGTTTCAGATTATATAGAGATTACAGATGAAATCCGTAGTCGATGGTGCCTTTAAGGTATTTGATGATGTGTTTTAAGATTGGAGTGTGGCCCATAGGGAACATACACAGACAAACAAATTAACTGAATTGCATATGTGATGTCCGGAGTAGTAAACATCATATATTTTACTTTTATAGTTATACTTCGACAAAGAGTGGCTTTTTGATGTCCGACAATGATTTTAAAATTTTTGTTTTTTGGAGTGGACATAATTTTGCAATTTTGCATCATTGGCACGATGGATTGTTTTTGGTGTATTTGTGATGAAAAAACGTGCAAGTAACCAAGATGCCTAAAAATAGATTAAATTACTCTAGTCCATTATCTCAAATTCCTATATGGGAGCATGTATGATATTCATCGTGAGTGCTTGAATGATATCCCTACCATATAGTAAAAGATAAACGGTACAACTCACATAGTCGATAAATAAATAGAGTTGCCCTTTTTGTTGTATAGAAACCCAATCATAAGGAGATAACTTTTGAATCCTTGATACCAAGCTTGGGGAGCTTGTTTCAAACCATAGAGTGAGTTGCATAGTTTGCACAATTGTTGGGGCCAGGCCCGAAGAAAGGAGAGGTGATTTGGGTTGCAACAATGATTCGAATGTACGTAGTATGTGAAGTTGCGGGATGGTGTTTGAGTGGAGTGTATGTGCTACGTAAGGAGGGAGTTCGGAAGGTGTAGGCGGGGCCAATTTTTGGCAACAATAGGAGAATATAAATATTTTTTTTATTTGAATACGAAATGAGAGATATATTGGGATGATTTGTGGACATATTGTAAGTTGCAACATATGTTAGAAATCTAGGTGTTTCAATTACTTGGATTTACTAAGAGTCATGATACACTTTCAGACTCAACTATTCGATGATATAGTCGAAATCTCAATTGAATAAAACTTAGTGTGTTTTTGATGAACATGGAATGAAGAATACATGACTCACGAATTCGTATGACCAAAAAACGAGAGAACCATAATTTAAGAAAACTTGCAAAAAATTGTCATATTGGTATTTACAAAATCACCACAAAATTGTCACTAAATCAGGTTCAAAAATCGGGTTCGACCCAACCAGGGGCAGAGACCCGAAGACCCAACCAGGGTTGCCACCCCTTGGACCCCGCGACCAGGGGCATTGCCCCCGGATCCTTGTAGTTTAAGGGTTTCTCCCCTAAATATCAATGTATTTTTGAATCAAAATAAACTCAAACAAGTGTCTACTCCACATTACCATTGTTCAAAATTTATTAAGATTACATTGGTCAACAAGTTCATCTCATTATATTTAAATAATAATGGTTATACTAGATACCTCACAAAAATCACTTCACATGAGTACACCGAGAGAAAATAGAAAAAGAAGGTATCTTTAAATAAACTCACACTTTATAATGTCGAGAACATTACAAGAATCAAGTTCATTATTCAAATTAGTACCATTGTGACTCAAATAATTGAAATTTCATCACAAACTTTCATTCGCCTATATATGCAACAACGATGTGAAATAACTGAAATTTCATCACAAACTTTCATTCACCTATATATGCAAGAACGATGTGAAATAAGTGAAATTTCATCAGAAACTATAGATTTTGATAATGTGGAGTAATAAGTGAAATTCCATTATAGAAGTATGTATACTACAAGTTTGAAGAATCACAATCTAATTGGGATTAAGACTTACCAAATATAAAGATAAATAGATAATTACAAATATCAATCTAATAAGGATAACTACTAATATATCTTATATTTAAATATTATACAACTCTACACCTCAATAACCTCATTCTCTCCGCAATGACCAACCCACAAGTACATGACTCCTTCCTTCCTAGAACGCAAAACTCTACAACAATCCTTCCTTGGCGCCTGCCATATGAACAAGAAACCAATTACCAAATGATATATAAACAATATTATAGAAAAAGGTTATTAGATGATTTAGATCTCGATGCATCATGTACCCTTTGCCAACGATCGGGATCTTCCTGCTTCAAGACGACCACAGTGTGGATGGTTTCAGGAGACTCCATCTTCCATCTGCATCGAGGGTGGCGTTCCCGGTGACGAGTGTATATTCCGATGATCTGCTTCCTGGCTTTATCGTATCGTGTGGAGTTTATGTAGAACACGAATGGCGTCTGGCATCGGTTCCCGGTGATTGGACGAGTGTTGAATGAGTAGGATGTAAAATCAAGCACTTTGTACCAGTTGATAAACGTACGACTAGGAATCTCTAGCTCTCGTGGAGACAGAATTCCCCTCATGATCTGAACAGCGAAACCCCATGACACCAGAATCGACCATTCTCTTCTCCGATCATAACAAATTGACTGCTGTGCAAGACTCGCGGAATCGTATTTCGCAGAATCTAGTAAGTGTTTGATCGATTCCACTCTTTCCATGCCTGGGAACACCGGTTCGATTACATCAAAGTGGTGGAGTGAGACCAACGGCGTCACTGGATGGCCGGAGAGTATACCCAATAGGCTTCCATAGATATCGTTCTGAAAAGTTGCGAAAACAAAATCAGTCTGACTAAATACGAATTCTTGTAGTAATCAAAGAAGTTTGATCTATCGAAAAAAACAAACCTGATGGAAGCCTGGTTCTCTGGTGAGAGGGACGTTAAGCTCAGCCATGCAAGCTTGCATCCTGTCGTCGCTTCCATACAAACCAGGGTATCTCTTAATACACCGATCTTGCATCTTCTCCAACTCCTTAGCCAAAGGGTAACTGATGGCGAACCCACCACCACCATAAGCCATTAAATATGAGAAATAGATGTTCTGTAAATGACTTTCCGACGAGCTTCCGATATAATAAAACTGGTTGTGATTGTATTTAGACAAAACCCTCACAACATTCTCCTTAACAAAAACCGTGTCATCGTCTCCCATGACAAACCATCTAATGTCCTCCAACCCGAGTCTTAATGCTTCTGAAACTATCCTTGATATGCGAATGGCTGACCTATGTCCCTGTTTGTTCGTGTATGGGAATCTTGAAGTGTCTCCTGAGATGTAGATGTCGGGTAGACTTTCGTTAGGTTTGATTTTCACGTCCATGTCGAGCCAAACACCTCCTCTGGTCTCCCCAGGCTTCCACCATAGCTTGATGTATTCTTTCCTTGATTCCCATAGATTTGAGGAGGCTGCAATGCAAAATGCGATATGTTTGAGCTCGGTGTCGTACCCGATTTTGGGTTGTTTGGGTTCTGTGAGATTAAACAGGCTAGCTTTGGTGGCGTTGGGGTGGAGATCGGAATCTTGGCAGTTGATCTTGGTGGTTAAGTGAGGAGGATAAATGAGAATTTCGTAAGAGTAGAGGAGGTAGAGGAGGAGTAGGAAGAGGAAGAGAGAGGGGAGTGATGATCGGATAATGGAGGCAAGGCTAAACGAAGGGCGGTGTTGGGTGGAAGAGGAGGAGATCATTATGGTGGTGGTGGTTGGATTTGGAAATTGAGAAGGTGGTGGATCGGAGTAGGGTGGTTGCAGGATGCCCCATTGTTAGAGCTAATTTCCAGCGTCAATGAGGTTTGGATGGAGAGAAATGCTTTGGTACGAGTGATGTTCGGATTGAAATGGAGATTTGATAGCAAATAAAAGCCGAGAAGAAGTCAAGAATGTCTCAAAATACACTTTCACAACATGTCTACAAAGTCGCTAAATATTACTTTGTCCCCTATGTTTGAGACACGTGGGCACTAAAATAACTAAATAAGTGAAACTGATGGTCATTGACAAAATCAAAGTTGGACACATACCTTTGTTTTGTCAAAATCCCAAGTTGTTAATGTTCTAACTATAATTAAGAATGACCATAACATCTCACTGTGAATGTGTTAGTAAACTAAAGAGCCGATGCAAGTAAGAATCTGTTTAGTATCGGCCTTTATGAAGAGACTATGTCAGTCCCAACTCCCATCACCCATGACACCCAGGATATATTATGTTAGATTTGGTGATAAGATTAGTACTCTAATTATAGCCGGTCGGAGTGTCAGACTAAATTTCGATAAACTTAGCCAACTTATCTAATAATTAGTTTGACAATACAACTAGTCATTTGTCAATTTCAAATGAAACTGTGCTATGTGAAGTAATGATGTTTGTCACTCGAACCTACTCAATACTAAATAGTTTTAGTAGTCAATACCAGTCTAAAGAAGCAAGCCCAATTCAACAAGACTAAGGTAATTTTTGTTTTTTCAAAACAAAAACGTCTGAAATCTGCGGACCACATCTGCAACAATCATCTGCAGTATAATAGGAGAATCAAAAGGTTGCAACTTGTAATATGAAGTTTGTATTTTAACTCTACAGGTTGCTACAATAAACTGAAATTAACTATACATTATGTTGGGGGATATTAGGGTGATGGTCGAAAACCGAATTCCTTATGGATCGTGTATGTTCATTTTCCGAACTGATATTTTTACCATATGCCTAAGTTACATGAAATCTTGTTTTGGATAATCCAAAAAGACACGTGTATCTAGGCACAGAAACACAAGTCAAATCGCCAGAGAATTGTGAGTTCGTTTTAGAAGAAGAAGAGTTGAGAAGGGTTCTCTCTACAGCTCAAAAGAGGAGTCATAAATATACATGACATATTAGGGTTGTTATCTTCTAAATTAGTTAGGAGAATCTCACATTTAATGTCATAATCAGTGGTTTCTAAAACTGACAAGATTTGTCCATCTTAATATAATCAACCACTAGAATTTGGTTTTTCCATAATACATCTAATTCAAATTTCCGAAGACCTTTCGGGGCGCTGCACCAAAACCCGCGGGGGCGCTGCCCCTAAGACCCTGCAAGGGGGCGTAGCCCTCTTGAACCCCACCTTTCTGTCGTAAAGGCTTATAATTCGATCTTATATATGCATGCACCACACATTCACCAAAACATATAATATGGAGTACAAACGATAAGCCACTTATCTCACATGTCACTTCTAATTACACAAAATGTCAGGTGACACTAAAATCACCAACAATCATCCCTCATTTTAGTATAACCCATGAACAAATATAAATTTTTCTAAACAAACCAAACCAGTACATAAATGAAAATGTTGAAATGATTAAATTCTCATCTCAGTATCAAACAATTCAAATACTTGAGAATCGGGGTGTTCTAAGAATTGAACCCTTCAACCCAACTAAATACCTGAAAGTAAAATACATACTAGTTTACTGAACTTTCTAGCAAAATACAACTTGACACTATTATAAAGTCGTGTGTACTAATCCTCTCATGATTGTATCAATGCTAAGTCCCAACCTCTTGAAATGCATAAACACTTCACAATTACGTAGGTAATTCCTTTACTTCATGTACGCAACATCTTGTTTTGAGGTACTTTCACTTTTGACCCTTATATTGAGATTTATTACATTTTGGTCCTTAAAATGTAAGATTTGTGGTTAGGAGGGGAAAATAGTGTCATTCATGGAATTGTGGGGCGAAGCCACATACATTGGGTGTACATTTACGTACGCAGGGCATACGGGGTGAATTCACATACCCTAATATTTAGGGTTTGGACCCTATTTATTCTTCATTAACTCTCAAACCTAGTTCCTTTCATCAACCTCCATCCTCACAAACGTTTTTGCAAACCATAATCTACCTTGTGAGCATTTTGAGCTTGTGTGTGCCAGTTTTATGCCTTTGAAGAAGGAAGAAGAAAGTGGAGACCATCTTGGAGGAGTGAAGCACCTTAGATCCGGAATCACACCATCATTTGACATCACTTAGAGGTATAAAGTTCTGAATATGATGAAGTTATACTTAGATTTTATTTTGGGCTTGATTTTATGTCCTTTTGGTCCCATAATCTTGGTATTACGAGTAGGGGTTATTTTAATCCATTTGAGTTGTCCTTTCAGAAGTTTTGGAGCCTCTTGAGTAATAAAAATGTAATCTTGGATCTTCTTTTTCCTCCATGCAAGTGTTGAAGTGTCTTGATGGAATAAGAAGTTAGGTTTTTAGCTCTTGGGACTTGCCTAGCCATGGAAAGTCATAAAGGTGGAAACTTATGACTAAGAGCCTTATTTTGAGCCTAGATCTGTATTGGGAAAGGAAAGGTCTTAATGGATTAAGCACGACTTAAAGGGGAAAGTTGGTTGCAGAGTACGTTGAGCGTACTTCAGAGTATGCTGTGAGTACTCCCTTAAGCCCTCGATGATAGAACGTGAGTACGTTGGGCGTGCTCAGTTAGGTTGACTCGGTTGACATTTTGGAATTTTGACTTTTACCTTATTTTTTACCAAGTTTAACCTAGGGGTATTTTGGATTGTATTTGATAATTTGTCATTTGGATGAATAGGTGACGATTAGAGCTAAGATTCGGTGCAACACTTGAATTTGTGTAACATCCCGATGTTCAGGTACTTCTAAATTCATCCCTATAATTCTATTTCATGTCAATTGGTTAAGTGGTAGCACCCTTGGTTATAATTGAGGTTTGTACACGGTGTGTTGGAGGCTCCAACACGACATGTCTAGATTTGAGAAGGCGCGAGTTTCATCTTGGGCAACACGACATGTTCCCTCTTGGAATGCATGTGTTAGGCATCAATTTCAAACTTGAATCCATAGGATTGCTCACAAGAGAATAATCACTAAAATTGAACCGTTTGAGAATTTTCTCAACATAATGACTTTGAGTCATTACTAATCCCTTGTTCACCCTCTTAATTCTTATACCAAGAATTATATTGTAACATCCATAAAATTCAAGCTAATTTAAAAAAAATTCAAACATTCCAAAACCTTTAATTATTACAAAATGTTTTCAATCTAGTTTCATATCAGAGTATCCCAGAAATCAAGATCATAAAAATGTGAGGAGGTGTATCACGCCTTCGCCTTCCCGCAATTATCTGAAGTACCTGAAACAAAATCTAAAACTTTAAGCTTGAAGCTTAGTGAGTTCCCTAAAAATACCCGCACAACAAATAACACACATAAAATAATAGCATACTATGGGCCCAATCAACCATCGAGTTGGAATGCCCCAGACCCTTAACAATCGGGTTCAAATTCCAACATACTATGGGTCCAATTTTCCTATGGATGGTATACCCTCGGCCCACAACCATTAGGTTGGAATGCCCATATACTATAAGTCCAATCATTCTCAGGATGGAATACTCTCGGCCCACAACCATCGGGTTCGAATGCCCTGGTCTGTTGGCTCTCGCACAAAACAGATAAGCCTCAACCACCAATCAATCATGTGCACATATATCAGATAATCACAAAACAGTCTACAGACAGACAAGCCAATCTATAGAACACTAAGCATAGTAGCATCCTATCTACTAGGATACCGATCTAACTGATCATGACCACATAGAATCATCCTATCTACTAGGATGTTGATCTAACATATCACACTAACAATAAAGCAAGATAACAATCCAAAGGGTCGCCTTGGTGCCTTCGACCCTTGAGTATAGTGAGGAAAACTTACCTCACAATGTCGATCGGACTGAAATATCAAACTCCCAAAACACGGCTCCGAACACCAACACCTACAACCACCAATGATCCACTTTCATAAATTCCTATTTTACCGAAATACCCTCAGAAGTCAAATGGTCAACCCTTGGTCAAAGTCAAAGTCAACGGTCAAGGTTAACAGTCCATGTTGACCCAACTCGTCTAGTGCAACTTACTGACTCGTCGAGTTCCTTCAAAACTCAAAGAATTGTGAAAACCCCAGTTGACTCGTCGAGTTTCCAGACAACTCGTCGAGTCCATGCAGTGTCCAAAATGTAGGGAAAACCCTAACCAAGTCATCGAGTTAACTCACTAACTCGCCGAGTTCATGCAGAATCCAGAAAGGGGGCAACCCTCATCCAACTCGTCGAGTTGGCTATGCAACTCATCGAGTTCCTTCAGTCCTTTTCTCATTCAGATGCTTTTAAGCAAAACCAAGGCTTCAAACTCTAGATCTAGCCTCCTAGGGTATAGTTACCATGTAAAATTGCTAACTTTACATACATGCAAGGGTCCAAGAAGCTAAAACACGCATAACTAGCCTTAGGAAGGGGTTTTGGACATGTAGGAGGGCCAAAGCTTCTTAAAGCTTGAGGTTTTATGTCCATAAGGTCCTAGAGGAGTCCAGATCTGAAACCATGTTCTCATGACAAGCTCAAATTTGAGTATGACCCCCTTCTTGCACCAAAATGACCATATACTAACATAAGAAGAGATCTAAGGAATGGAAGACCAAGGTAAGGAATTTTTACCTGCAACTGGATGCCAAAACAATGTAGATACTGGATCTACAAGGTTCCTCTCGTTCCAAGCCTCTAAATCTTCAAGCCTCTTCAAGAAATGCACCAAACACACACTTTTAGCCTCACACACACACACTCAAAAATATGGTTAGATCAATTAGAGTTTTCTTCTGGACG